GTATGCCATCCATGCATTTTTTTCCTCATGTTTATGTAGTGTATATTGGAGGTGGTTACCCTTTGAGTACGCAATTAAATCTCATTTTAATGTATGCTGAGTGTACATTTAAAGTGACAATAAAATTATTCTATTCTATTCTATTCTATTCTATTCTATTCTATTCTATTCTATTCTATAAATAAGAATGGCACTGTTCTGCCTATTTCCAAGATTTCTTTCCCCTACCCAAAACTCCCTTGCCCTTATGGCATTTTCGCAGTTAAAAATGTCACAGGCGATAGAGACTTGCGTGGAAATAACGCTCTCTCCTACACCCACTCGATTCAATTATGGCCATCCCTAGAGGCCAGTGACAGCAAAAGGAGATACAGCTTCCATTCTCTTGCTGATTCAATCAGCAAGAATAAAATATTTGCATATGAGCAGGGATGGAATCTGTCAGTTGACCTGGATGCCTACAAATATTGCAAATTAGCAAATGTGTGTAAAAAAAACAACAGGAGAGTTAGAAGCCAATTTTTATGGTTCATCACACAGTCACCAAATGTTTAGACCGGGTTTGGAAAATTTATTCACCTTCTGAGTCCTTCCCAAGGATCTGGAATAGGCAGGTGTTGTTGTTTAATAATATTAAAGGTACTGTTAAACAGGTGTGGAATTAATGGAGACAACCAAGTAAATAGGATAACCCTTTTATTAAAACACTAAAAAGGGTTTAAAAGTCAAACCACGAGCTCACAGAGTGGCTGACAGGTGACAGCTGATTCCGTCTGACAGCGCTCCTTTTATAGCACGCTGTCAGACGCAACAGCCAATCTACGGCCACACTATCTCCCGCTTCTTATGCGGACCAATGTGGAAACTTGCTTCACAAACAGGTACTATTACAGGATTTAAGCTATTCCAAGCAAAGCTGTCTTTTGCAATTGACTGGTGGTGACTTTGTCAGTGCCAGATGTTTGGGGGCTGCATCCCAGGCACTTACTACTTCTGGTAATATTTTTATTACATTATTACTTTGTTTTCAGTCATTGTATATTTGTAATCAGTGAAAACATTTCTTCCACTAGTCCTTCAGTTGCTGGCCCTGATTGCTCAGCCAACAGGCTTGAGTCCTGTAGCCCATTTGTCACTAGATGTCCAGGAACTCCAACATCTAGCAGAGTCTTTGCTGATCCAAATGATGACCCACCCAGTATGGATTTCTACGAATCACATCTCCCCATGTTGGGAATGGGACAGCTCCTCATCTGGTTCCTCTGAGGAAACCTGACCAGTATGGCTGAACTTCTGGCGTAGCTCTCATCTTCCTCAGAGCACGCGAGCCCCACAACCACATCAGGGTAATTATTATTAATTTTCTTTTCTCTCTCTCTTTTATTTTGTTCTATTTATTTATTTCCTTATTTATGTTAGATATTTTAACGTGTTAAATTTGCTTCATCTGTATTGGGAACACTATGTATTGCATGCCATCCTGGGGAAAAAGAGGTATAAATCTTTAGACTCAAAGTGAGTGTATTAGAGTTGTATTCCACTTACTAAGACCTGCATGGCATCCCCATTAGGATTTTTTTCTTTACAGTTGTCTTGCAAGGGGACTGAGGTACATGGGAGAACAGGAGGAGGGGTCGAGTAGTCAAGAAGGCAAGCATGAGAATGCCATCCTTTGCCCACCTGCACTGCAGGCCCGATGCATGTTTAAAGGGGGTGGGGCTTCAATCACACAGTTGGAGCTGCCATCTTGATTTCTTTGCCACCTGGTCTTTGAATGACCTTGTGGGAAAGGATTCTGTTTTTAGATTTCTTTCTGAAGGGAACATCCCACTTGCTTGGAGAATAAAAAAAATATCAACCTCTGCAGAGAAATTTAGGGGCACAGACTAGTCCTGGTTAATGTCCCCATTTTTGGAGAACTGGACATCTGTGTCACATTGTTGTCCTTAAAGTAATTATTCACATTGATGAAAGAGAGATTAAAAACTTGGCTGTGAGCTAATGATATATTATATCCATATTTCACACCATGAAATTCTTGTAATCAACACACATTGAACATTAAATTGCCTTGACATTTCATGCCCCATGTAGTGGTTTGAATTCAGATATTCTTGAATTTTGACTGCTGTGCTTACCATGGCATCCCTCTGGCCCTCGGTCATAATACACTTAATCTGCAGAGTTACAAGCCCAGTCCTATCTCCATACCAGAAGTAACTCTGTCAGTACACTGTGACACTAATGGGGTCAAAATCACCACCATCTATGTTCTTTCGGATTCTTGTCCTCACCTCATAGGAGGCAGCATGGGAGTGATAGATTGGAGGTGTTATTATTATTATAGACATTATTGTTAGCATTATTGTAGAAAACATTAATGTACTTCAACTATGATTCAGAAGGATGGGTGGCCCTGGGAGATGGCCTCTAGGTAGCTGTGGAATAACATGGAAGCTTTTGAGGTTGATGTATTTCAATGTTAAAAATCAAAATAGTTTGTGTTTGTTTCTTCTGTTTTGCTTTTTGCCCTTGGATCTCAAACCAGCATTACCCCGAAACCAGTATGACCATTCAAAGTTACAATGACACTGCAAAGAGTGACTTATAGCCATTTTTTCACACTTACAACTGCTGCAGAATCCCAATGAACATGTGATCAAAATTTAGATGCTTGGCAACTACTCATATTTTGACTGTTGCAGCATCCCAGGGTCATGTGATCACTGTTTGCGGCTTTCTAATAAGCAAAGTCAATGAGGAAGCCAGATGGACTTAACAACTGTGTTACGAACTGAACAACTGCAGTGATTCGTTTAAAAATTGTGGCAAGAGAGGTCGTAAAATGGGGCAAAACTCACTTAACAAATTGTCTCAATTAGCAACGGAAATGTTGGGCTCCTTTGAGGTTGTAAATTGAGGGTTACCTATAGTTGCTGCTTTTCTTGGCTCTGTTAATCTGCCCTCACCGCTATTAATCTCTGTCATATTTTCAGGCACACTAAAGTTGGCAAGTTAGCTTTTGGGTGTGAACCTGCCAAGAACTTGGACCATAAGCTCCAATTTATTCTTTAGATCGGCATAAATATTTCGTTACTTTCCAGCAATCTTGATCCTCACAGGTTTGGGAACTGTGCCACAACGATGTCCCTCACTTCCAGAGAAGAAATGGATTCGGACTCTCTTACTTCTGAAAAAAATCGTGATTGTTCATCTTTAATGAGAGGCTGAAGCCAAGGAATTTCTGAGCAGTCATTTTTATCAGATCCAAGCTGTATCCCTAGACGATATGCCTGGGTTAGGGATCATAAAATTTGTTTCGATACTTGTGAACTACGGAAGAGCCACAAAATTGGAGGACCAGAGCTGCAAGATTGGTGAGTCAAATTATTAAAAAGACCCCTGTCTGTTGGGCTTTTTTCAACTTGGTCATTTAGAAAAGACCAGCCTTTGACTGTATTTGTGGTGAAAGAAATACATTTACTAAAGCCAAGTGGTTACAAAGTTAAAAAAAGAAAGAAAGTTGCCTACTTACTTTCTCCTTTCCCGGATCCTTTCATCCCTCCTTCTTTTTCCTTGAAGACATTTCATTTGTCATCCAAGAAGCTTCTTCAGTTCTGACTAAATGGTGAGGAATGGAAGGGATTTTAGAAGACCCCAATGTGTTTGTATTGTGATGCTTTGGTGTTTTTATATCTGATTTTTTTTAATGCTGTGAATTGGTTTGTTAGCCATCCAGAAATATGATAGATTTTATGCATGAATGAATGAATGAATGAATGAATGAATGAAAGAAATATTGTGCAGTGCAGAGGGAAAGAATGTATCCACAAAAGCAGCAGTGGCTAAACACCTTCCAATGTTGCATCCTCAGCCCAGTGTCCTCCAAAATGATAGACATTGTGCATATATCAAGGCTCCTGCTGAGAGACAGTAGAAGAAACACTTCAGGAAAACTGAAAACCACCTACGCTTAAGCCAGTGGTTCTCAACCTGTGGTCGGCAGACCTCTGGGGGAGTCATGATGTTGACACAGGGGTCTGTGAATATTTGAGGCAGTCTAGTGCTTTAAACCTTGAGTTAAGTCTTGGTGGTCTGTAGCCATAGTCCAGGGCCATAAGAGGTATTTAAAGGGGATCTGTGGTAAAGAAAATGTTGAGAACCATTTTCTACATCATAAGCTGTAGAATGGGGATGAGAAGCCTGGATGCAATGGCGGGTCCCAGGAACAAGTTGGTCATTATCCAGCTTAATTTAGAAGGGCATTAGATAATGCCTGGGCTGTTGGGGCTTCATTTCCAAAGACATTTCCTTACTGAAAGAGCACAGGTAGGCAAAATCAACGGGATCAGGAGACTTCAGATTTCCTGCCAGTTTTCCCATTGATTCCTCCCTGTCTCCCTCCCTCCTTCCCTTCCCAGAAGGTGGCTGCCACTGGGTGGGGGGAGAGAATGAGGGATTGTGAGACTGGCTGGGAAACAGCCATGGAACATTGACAATGAATGTGTGACCTTAGCAGCAACAGTCAGTAGCACTGAAATAGTCACAATTTTTCCAAATTTCATTCCCTCAGAAGTCATATATCCTAGATTTTGGACACATTCTGTAAATCAGGCCATTTGAGGTATCTTGGTTCGAAAATTGTTGCCCTGTGTTAACTCAATTGTTGACTCCATTTAAAGACCAACAAGTGTTTTTATAGTATGTAGATGTAGATAGACCCACAAAATGGTAGACTACATTAGCAATTCTTAACCTGAATATATATTTAGACTACATTCTTAAACTGAGTTAGCGTGAGATGGGGAAAATACATGATATTTTTTCTGTGCAACATTGGCAAATTGAATGAATTGTTACTGATCTCCACCCTAACTAGCTGGTGTTAGGAATTTATCCCCCCACCCGCCCCCTGCTCCTGACTTCTCTTTATTTTACTGCATATTTCTTAATTCTGCCATGTGAACCCGCCCTTTCCCCCAGGTATATTTATTTGCCACTTTACTCTGGTCTCCATGGTGATTCAGTCTGAATATTACGGGCAGAAGCAAGAGGTTGTAAGGTCTGCAAAAGCCACTGGATGCAGGTGGTGCCGGTGATACATAGCAGAGCCCTCACTACTCAAAGCCAGAGAGAATGCACTGTTTCACAAATTAACAATAAGGTAATGGGTCCAATGCCAGAGAGCAGGAGACACAATGAGTGAACTTTGAGCTGTGTCGGTTCTGGAATAAATCTCCATACAGATCATCCGTGAAATCACCATCAAACTGAAGCTTGACTAAACTATCTGCTCACAGGCTTCTCACAAATGATGCTGCTAAATCACAGCTTTATAATAGACCCCTTGGGAACTCATTTCTTGCTTTTAAATATGAACATAACATTGATGTGCTCCATGTGTGTGGCAAATATCCCTCACACTCACATACACAGACAGACACACAGAGGGGGGAGGGGCTATTCAAACAGAGCATTGGGAATATTGGGGTTCTGACTTAAAGATGACTGTAAGAAGTCTTCAACCACTAAACTTTTAGAGTAAGGGGATAAGTTTGTGCTAGATCCCTTCTTTTCCTTGAAGTGTTTAGACCTTTCCATTGCTGCATCTAATGTGGTTGGTTCCTGGTTGAGAACATACCGTGTTTCCCCAAAAATATAATCTACCCTGAAAACAAGCCCTAGCCTGATTTTCCACACCTGTACCTAATATAAGCCCTAGCCAAAAAATAAAACCTAGTTAAGCCCCACCCACCATCTGGTTGTATCAGGTGGGGCAAACCACAGCCATAAAAATCAAGCTAGGATGAGGGTGGAGCTGCCTCACATGCCCCGCACCTTAGGACCGCCATAGCAAGGCCTCCCATGCCCCAACACCTGTCACGCTGTTGCCCAATTTCTTCTGTGGTCACCACAAGGCTCATCACACCAGTGCCGCCACTCGGACATGCAATGGCATAATGCACCACACCTCCTGCTGCAAGTGGCAGTACTAGCGCAATAAACTATGCGGATCTGGCACTCGTGGCCACAGAAGTCAGGTAGCACTGCAACAGGTGTCGGGAGTGGGAGGAGTGATTCTGTTTCTGGTGCACCTGGTCTTCCAGTTTCTGGTGTGCATGCACAGGTGAAAACAGCTGGCCAGTGCACATGTGCTGGCTCTACCAAGCCTTTCGGGGGTCCTCGCACCCCCTTGCCTGCCCCTCTGGTCCCTGTCGGGATGGTAGGACATCCCCACAGACAACCCAGTTTCACAGTGCTGGACAGGAAGAGAAAGTTGGGTGGAGAATGCCGCCTCCCTCCACTGGAAAGCCAGAGCCCCTTCCCAGACTCAAAGGGAAGGGGCGTCAGTGTTCCTGGGGCTTGGGTTGGAGTGGTAGCAGGTGGGAGAACTTTGCCCAACTCTGGCTGGGATGAAGCGCCCCTCTCCAGCCCACCACCGAGAACAAGCCAGCAGAAACCCCCACCACTGCTTCCCAGCCAGCATGCCTCTTACCCCAGTGCTGGACAGTCCTCCCATGTGGAGTCAGCTCTTGTGCAGTCCTGGATAGTCCTGCAGCAGTGGCAGCCACAACAGGGTGAGAAACAGGAGCGAGAACTGCTGCTGCCCTCTTGGCCCCAGCAGCAGCGATTCTCGCTCCTATTGTGGCCCAACTAGCAGCTGACGGAGCTGGCAGCAGAGTCAGACAGTAGTGAGAAGGTTGGGGAAGAACCTGGGCCAGATTGGAGACTGAGGAAGGCTTGGACAAGGGCTCTGCATTAGAGGCAGTGATGGGGCCAAGGCAGGCTGGCAGTCATCAGCTGCCTTCAGACTCAGACAGCAGTGAGGCTGGGAAGTTTCTGGAACCAGTTCCCGGCCTGTGCATACGCAGGGCTACCAGAAGACAAGAACAATTGAGAAAGCAGGGTTGACTCAAGAGTAAGGCTACACCTTGGAGATGATTGGCTCCTCCCATAGGACATAAAGGAGGAGCGAATGGGATGAGAGCTTTTGCAGGAAGCAATTAGTTCATCTGGTCAATTCAAGCTTTGAAAAATTCTGTTCGACGGTGTCAAGTTTGGCCTTGCCCTGCGTTTGGAAATTAGTTCTCTGGCAGCATTCCAATTGCGATAAGGTGGGTGTTTATAAACATTCCCCTGAAAGATGGTTAGGGAAGCCTTGCAGACTGTGAATAAACGTAATTCATAGCGGTTGAAATAAAAGAGGTTTTGCTGGGACTAAATTGTGTTTTATGCTTTCTAAGGAAGCCTAGGTCAGAACAGCTCCTGCCTTTTGCCCTCTGCCTGCCACTGCTGCTGCTCTTCTGAGGCAGTGGGGATGCGCATGTGAACCACCGCTGCCCCCTCAGACCCGGCAGCAGTGGTTCTCGCTCCTGCCTTTCATCCTGTTGTGGCTGCTGCTGCTCTTCTGGGGCAGGGGAGCTGTGCATGTGGACCGCTGGCACCCTCTCGGCCCCAGTGGTGGCAGGAGCAGCAGGCAGAGCAGCATTTCCTGGCTGGGAAGTCAACTGCCCCATGCATGAGCTGGCCAGTGCGCCAGAACCTGGAAGAGTAAGGGGAGCAGAGCTGCTGGCCAGGATGGGTGGGCTGGGGTTACCCTTCCTCCCCACCTGAGTGGGCTTCTTGCAGGGCCTCAGCCCTCCAGCCCATGGCACTGACATGCGTCCGTGGTCTGGAGTACCTGGCTGGCGGCTCTGCTGGGAAAATGATCTTCTGTCAGAAGGCTTCTGTCTTAGAGTAGGAGATCCTAGAATAAAGGAAGAGAGAAGAGCAAAAAATAAATATTTTTATTCCACTTACATATAAATTTCAACTCAACTAATTTTAAAATTATCCAGACCAAGTGATTGTATTTATAATCACTTACTTGTAATAACATTGTCACTATTGGAACCACTTTTGGGGTCCTTTTGAGGATTTCATCCAAGGCCGCTCTCTGAGGTAGAATTTACAGCTGACCCAAAGCTCAAATATTGCAAATGATGTCACTTGAGTACAATTCAGGAGAAATATTCATGCGTCTGTGAGGCATAACACAATCTGTGCATTCAGCACAAACTGGAGAGTTGTCCAGTAAGTAAGGCTGGCATGATATTATACCAGATTGATTCTAGTGAGGCACATAAGTTTATGAACAATTTATAAGATGAGCTTGAATGAGCATTGTCTGTCTCCTCCTTGTACAAAGAAATGACAGTTCTTATTTATATAATATCTGTAGGCTCAGCTTTTTCTTAAGGTTTAATATCCAATTCTTGTACATATCGATTTTACAGAAGACAATGTTGAAAAAGCACTACACAATCTAAAACCATCTCTGTCTATTGGACCAGATGGAATATGTGCCTACTTCTTAAAAAAGCTATCCACTGCCATAGCTGAACCTCTAAGCATAATCTTTGAAAAATCTTTCAGGACCAGCTCCCTGCCAAAACTATGGTCACAAGCCATGGTCATCCCCATCTTCAAAAAGGGAGATCCCAGCCTAGTTGAAAATTACAGACCAATCTCCTTATGCTGCACCACCTGTAAGGTCATGGAATCAATTATTAACCAATCCATTATCCTCCATGTAGAGACAAACAACATACTCTCCAATAAACAATTTGGTTTCAGGAAAAAACTATCATGTAATCTGCAACTCTTACACTGCAAAAACATATGAACTACACAACTCGATCAGGGCAAAGCAATAGATGCAATCTACATAGACTTTTATAAAGCCTTTGATTCAGTGGTACATGACAAACTACTCATAAAGCTAAAATCTTATGGTATCTCTGGACAACTGCATAACTGAATAGAAGCATTCCTGTCAAACAGACAACAAATGGTCAAAATTGGGAGCGTCCTATCAAATTCTGTACCTGTCAACAGTGGTGTCCCTCAAGGCAGTGTTCTAGGACCAACTCTCTTCATACTCTACATAAATGACTTCTGTGATCATATTAAGAGCAACTGCATTCTTTTCGCTGATGATGTAAAGCTATTCAACACCACTGACAATACTGCTACCCTCGAAAAAGACCTTAACTATATGTCGGAATGGTCAATCAAATGGCAACTTCAAATCTCAACAAATAAATGCTCTGTCTTACATATTGGCAAAAAAAAATCAGAAAATAAAATACAAGCTGAATAGTCAAGACCTTGTTGATGAACCAAACTCTGTCAAGGATCTTGGAGTACTCATCTCTAATGATCTAAGTGCTAGGTGCTCACTGTACCTACATAGCCAAAAAGGCATTAAGAGTTGTTAACCCAATCCCACATAGCTTTTTCTCTGGTAATATCACACTACTAACTAGAGCATACAAAACATTTGCTAGACCAATACTTGAATACAGTTCATCAGTCTGGAACCCACATTACGTATCTGATATTAGCACAGTTGAGAAAGTCCAGAAATATTTCACAAGAAGAGTTCTCCACTCCTCTACGCATTGCAGAATACCTTATGCCACCAGACTTGAAATTCTAGACCTAGAGAAACTAGAACTACGCTGCCTTCAGTCCAATCTAAGTATAATACATAAAATTATATATTGCAATGTCCTACCTGTCAATGAATACTTCAGCTTCAATCATACCAATACAAGAGCACACAATAGATACAAACTCAAGGTTAACTGCACCAAACTTGATTGCAGGAAATGTGACCTCATCAACAGAGTGGTCAATGTCTGGAATAGTCTACCTGACTCTGTGGTTTCTTCCCCAAACCCCAAAAACTGTAACCTTAGACTGTCTACTATTGACCCCACCCCTTTCCTAAGAGGTCTGTAGGGGGTGTGCATAAGCACACTGTGCCTACTGTCCCTGTTCTATTGATTCTTTTTATTTTTCTTATATGTATCCATTTAATATATTCATAACTATGTTTATACTTATACCTATTATCTTGTAAGCAATTGACAAATCAAATAAATAAATATATAAAATAAATAAAGAAGAAGCAAGCAACAAGAATGACAACACCGGAAAGAAGGAAGGAAGGAAGGAAGGAAGGAAGGAAGGAAGGAAGGAAGGAAGGAAGGAAGGAAGGAAGGAAGGAAGGAAGGAAGGAAGGAAGGAAAATCTGCACCAATGTTGTATTAGTGTACAGTGGAGGCATGTAGTTTAGAAATAAAACATTAGCAATAATTTACATATGCAAAACTATGAAGAGGAAATTAATTCAGCAGAGGTTATAAATGTACAGTTTGAAGTTCAAATTTTCCCTTTGTCTAGAAGAAGAAGGAGAACTTTATTGTCATTGTACAAGTACAACGAAACTGTGGATGCACCCCAGCAACTGTTCACAATACAATAAAACCAGAGCACTTTGAGATGAAAATAAGAAAAATAGAGTACCTGCGTCTCCATTTGCAATTAGACAGTACAATATCTATGAATATACACAAAATATACATCCAACACTGACTGTGACGCTTTGCCGAGTGTAATACACAAGAGATGGATTGTACTGTAATATGTTATTATACATCTGAATGGGGTATTGAGATTTCACATCTTTTCACATCTTAATAAGGTAGTGACTTGTATTTATTTGCGGTTCGGATGGCCCAGGGAAAGAAACTGTTTGTTAGTCTAGTGATGTGGGATTTTATTGACCTAAAGCGCCATCCAGATGGCAGCAGGTCAAAAAGATAATTGCCAGAGTGTGAGGGGTCTTCTATGATGGCCTTGATTCTGCTTTGGCAGCGGGACCTGAGTAAGTCTTCCAGGGAGGGCAGAAGGCAACCAGTGATCTTGTTTGCATTTGAATGTAGATTTATTTAATTTTGGATTATTGATGCAGCACACATTAACATCAATAATTGCCACTACCTATTGAACTCTCAACCTTTTTAAGTTGGAAGCAAGCGCTTTACCTTTAGGTCACCATATCACTCATGTAAATAGATGTAAATATATATGTATATGTCTATATGTATGTGTGTGTGTGTGTATGTGTGTGTACACACACACACATACACACATATACATATATATGGTATTATAGTAGAAGAAATGGTTTGTAATAATTATCTGCTGATGAAAATGTGTGCCAGAAAAGCACAGAAAAAGGCACAAAAGTTTTACCTCAAACTTTTTTTTAAAAAAGAATTAACTGTTTTCAATTATAACAGCAGATTTTCATCCATTTTTCCAAAAAATTGGGTCTTCTTCATGAAGTTCAACCTATTTTAGGAAGCTCAATTATTCAGTTTTGTTCTATTTAATTCCTAATGGAGCAAAGTGAGTGTATTTCTTGCTCATTATTAATGCAGATTGATAAAACAGTGCTAAAAAACCACTCCAACTTGCAAAACACTTTTGATGTTACCAAATGCCTGACTTCAGTAAGAAAAGACTGAAAGCCTCTTTTACCCCATGAGAAGAGACACAGATCACAGAAAGTGTTCCAATATTTGAGGGGCCGCCACAAGGATTCTCCGAAGCACCTGAATACAGAACAAGGAGCAGTGCATGGAAACTGACCAAGGAAAAAGCGACCTAGAATTAAGATTTCGTGACAGAACAGTTAATCAGTGGAATGGGTTGTCTTTGGAAGTTGTGGATGCTCCAACACTGGAATCTCTTAACAAGAGACTGGACAACTTTTTGGTGTACAGCTGTGATGGTGAATCTGCCCAAAGCAGAATGCATATGCATGCACGTGCATGGGTGCGTGCCAGAGCACTGGAAAACTGAAGACCAGCACATGGCCTGTTTTGGGGGCATTTTGGGGCTGTTTTGGGGCATGAAAAATGGTCTGAAAATGGCCAGAAAACAGCCCAGAAAAGAGCCTGGAAAATGGCCTGGTTTTGAGGGCAGAATTGAGGGCTAATCCTTTTCATTCTATCAATTCATTTTGACAAATATTGCAGTTTTTCAAACAAGGACACCATTTTGAAATCAAAACAATTCGACCATTCAAACTGAATCAACCATTTAGACTAGTTCAGGCACCACCACTTTAATATAAAAAGCAGTGCTTTTATTTCTTAATTAAAAGAAAAAAAATGTTTTCCAACAGATGCTTGTCAACCTTTGAAGTAGGACTATGTAGTCTTCAAAGGAATTTAGAACAAGTCTTGAATTTCATACAGTATCCCTCTGCTAAGAAAATAATAGATATCAATTGATAGAATCACACATTAATCAAAAATTTGAATTAGCTTCATGCAGATATAAAGGCAACTTCACCATTAATCACACCTACAGTCTAATTCACTTAATCATAAGCACATTTAAATGCAAATTAAATTTAAATCCATTTTGGCTTGGAAATTGATATCACCCACTGGCACTTTTCAGAGAGCGCGAGTTTCCAGGTTCTTCCTGTTGAGTATTGCTAGTCCTTAATTTACAACAATTCATTTAGTGACCCTTTGAAGGGTGGCAAGGAAAAAAGTGACTTATGAGTGTTTTTCACATATATAACAACATGCATCCAAATGGGTGATCAAACTTCGGACACTTGGCAATTGGTTCATATTTATGACAGTTGCAGTGTCCGGGGATCATTTGATCCTCTTTTGCGACCCTCTGACAAGCAAAGTCAATGGGGAAGCCTAATTCACTTAACAACCATGTTACTAACTTAGCAACTGCAGTGATTCACTTAACAACTGTGGCAAGAAAGGTTGTAAAATGGGGCAAAACTCACTTAACAACTGTCTTGCTTAGCAGCAGAAATTGGAGTTTAATTTTGGTCATACGTTGAGGACTCCATATGATCCTTGAACTGAAAGTAGTGTATCATTAGAACCAGGATGGCAAAAGAATCTTTCCCTCCCTTGGCAGGCTGCATAGCCTCAAAATCGTCGGATGGGTCACTCCCTAGAGATGGCTTAATCACAAATGTGAATCAGAGTTTCAATTATATTGAGATGGTACAAAGAGAACAAGCACCTTCACCTTTGGTTTGTTGTTTGTCTTCGATTAGATTTAACATCAGTCCCCAACTACAGGTTGCTGAGGAATGAAGAAAAATGAATCCATTCCTAGCTCATCATTTATTAGCATTGAGATAATGTCGCCCATTCATCACAGGCACAGGCGCATTGCAAAAGTCCCTTTGGCTGTTTATTCTCGCTTCTGGAACGTTGATTTTCTTCCCCCCACACCCCCGATCTCAGGAGAAATGATTTTATAAAAAAAATAGAAATCATTTACGCAGAAGAAACTGGAAAAGGGTGTTGATTGCTGGTAGGGAGGTGTTTTGGTCTTTGAATTCCTTTTTTGGCTTGTTGATTGTCTCTTTTGAATTGTATGTAGATGTTGTTTTGTGTCTATGTGCCTGTTGATGGCCAAATTCTCAGAGTGCCAGGCTTATCTACAACGTATATTTGAAATGCTGAGGGCCATCAAGGACAGGTAGAATCAATACACCTGACTCCTTACTTTCTTTATTACTTTTCAACAATATTCCAGCCCAAAAGTGCTAATCAAACAATACAAGCTGAACTCCAAAACTGGGTCCACTTCACTTGCTTTAGCATTTTCTATCGTTCAGTTGACAGCAGATGCTTTCAGAAGCTCACAAGAGAGTATCAGCTGCTTATGAAGCAGTTGTATAATCAGGTCTTGAGATTTAATTACTTCTGAGTCACCCAGACTGCAAACATGAACGGAGATGTTTAGGTAGCAAAGTCACATATGTGGAAACTCATTGCTGTAAGACTTCATATTTTAAATAAATTTTCCTTCCTACCTTTGATCCACCAACATGTTTTACTCATATAGATGTGATATATATAGATGCATGTGTGTGAGGGAGGGAGGGAGGGAGGGAGAGAGAGATTTTTTCAGCAAGAATTTTGTTCTGTTGTCTGACTCAATCTATTAAGGCTTAATTTTAGTCTTTTAAGAATTCCCCACGCAATCAGTTTGTCGCTCTTTTTAAACTTGCCAGTCCAGTGTTGGAAAGAGAATGAAGCCTTTAAAAAAATCCTGATTCAACTCGATATTTCTTGCAAGATTTCATTGTGTCCTTGTTAACTTTAGAACAACTGGTGTACTGTTACT